CTTCAGACGTTGATAAGGTAACTATATTTGACAACAAAATTTACACTTATTTATTATCTTTTAATGGGTCTAAAAATATTTTTTGTTAAGAAAATGCAATATAAAAATGACCATAGGTCACGAACTTTTAGCATTTGATATTTTTCTCATTACACGATTTTCTATCTTTTATGATAGTCCATAAAAGTGTATTTTCTAATAGAATAGGCCACAACCCTTTAGTATTTTTTTTTCTTTGTTATGATTTGCTTTTATGAAGGTAAATTAAATGTTTTTTATAAAATTAATATCCTCTATACTAAGTATATAATATGGACGTCGTCCGCATCTGTATTTCTTCTTGTGTCTTCATTTAGACTTATAATTAAAATCATGTAACGGATTAGATACGACTTTTACAGTAATTTAAACATATATTTTCCATAAGTGAGACATACTTTTTAGCCTCACCATGGAATCATGTATTCACTGAGCGGGTGCAGGCTCCATTGAGTGGCAGAGAGGAACTCCGAGCATTTACCGGGTCTTGGGGGCCGTGTGCAGGCTTAAGAGCCCTTTTGCCCACATATTCAACACTCACCACCACCGCTTATGTTTCTCTCTCTGTCCAGTCAAACCAATAGGAGCCTGTTAATACAGCTTTAATTACACGTACTAGTATTATAAACTCACCGTAATTCTAAACAGGCCAAGATCTTTTAAAGGATATATGCAATACATATTTCAGCATAATTTAATGAGTTTAGTTACAGAATACAGATGTGGCATTATAGGATGAGAGGGTTAGACAGAGGTAGTCCTCTATAATGGCAAAGCATAAGTGGTGTGATAAACGTAATATAATAACGGGATGGCCGTGGTACTTTTCACGTATATAGATTACATTTATCACTTACCATCAACTTCATAAAAAAATGTGCTTGTTTTAATAGACATTTATTTATCACATTCCTCTACTGTCTCGTACGACATCAAAAGGAGTGCTGTCACATTGCATTCTTCCGTAGGAATATTTGAATACGCCCATACATCATAAGAAAATGTTTCGACGACACATTTATGAGCGCGAATGTACATTTACCAGTCGACGCAGGTACCTATATAACTCTTATTACCACCGGGCGACGTACGAAACTTGACAGTTTAATTTACGTTTTGTCAAAATTAATACAAATATCCCACGGGCGTTATTCCGCGCCACGTTACGTTTCACGTGTTGCCTCGTAAATTGTCGGGCCACGTTAGCCACGTATTCATACGTTTACCATGATTTATGTGTTGTACACATTTCTATGTCTTCATCTGTTTAATGTTTGTATAGTCCAGTGAACAAGTTTTTATGATATTCTTATATTAAACTTGCGTAGTGCTGTTCCTGTGTAAAGGCAAAGATTACCTTACCATCAAACGGACTTTTTACCATTTAAATTACATATTTATTATAATATATTAGCCATGTATTAGAATGACATCTACGATAATTTATATTTTGTACACATTTGTATGCCATTTGTTTAATATTTGTGTAATTCTGTACAAAACATTTTTTTATGATATTCTTCATTCATGTGTATAGACGAAGCTTGCCTTACCATCAAATGGACTGTCAGCTTGTTTACCATTTAATTTATATAATTTTAAATTATCATGTTAATTACCTAATTCCTATAATATTTTTGAGTTATGTTATTTACGACATCCTGAAGGTGGCCGGGAGTGCATGGATGCGGAAGGCAGAATATCGCACATAGTGGAAGGCATTGGGAATGGCATATATCTAAGAGTGGATAGATACATGATGTTATTTACATATTTGACTGACGTCTATGATTATTTGTGTAAATCTGTACAAAATTAATAAAACAAACACTGAATCAAAGAGAATAAGCTCTATATATTAATAACTATTTGTTAAATACCTATTTTTTATATTTTCGAGGTACAAATAAATCAGTATACATCTGTCAGATCTTCAGTGAATAGTCTAAGTAATTTATAAAGAAATTACCTCATACAATATCGAAGGCAAAAGAAGTTAAATGTTCAAAAAATATTTTTTACTATCTTGGTATACTTTTATATGTATAAATCTGTCTCGATCTACTTTAAATGGCTGTCTTATTTCTCACGTTTTTATAGAAATATTTTCTTTCATTGAATAATAGCTACGCTTTGATTTACATCGTTTAGATACCTTCAATGTCTTTACAAAACTTTTCTATTTAATGTGATGTAAAAAATATATTTTAAGTACATATTAAATCAAATCAAAATGTTTTTATTCGTGTAGGTCTATTACAGACTCTTATGATATGTCAAATCTACTGTCAGTTGTCAGTGCTGTCGAGTTAGAAGAACTGACAAGGAAGCCAGCTCATATTCTTTTCAAATAAATTTCCTAGAAACGCAACACATTTTTTATGAGTTTATACACGATTACAAAATGTGACACTATTTACGCTTAATACATAGAAAAGAATTTCGAGGTTTTAAGAATTGTCTTTGTATTACTTTTATTTTTATTATTGTTAAAGTGGACTGAAAATCATTTTTTTTCTCCTTGAGTGGTATTGCTATAACATAATACACACAGGTTTACCCATATTGTATTGCATCGGTTTAAATAATTTGTATTGTATGCTATTCGTAATTAATTCTAAAATACAAATAAACATTCTTATCTACCTATATTATCACTCTATCTTTATATACATGTAGCCGTCGTATCTGTCGAACGAATGAGGAAGTGATAAACACTAGAACTATATAATATTATGCCGACCTCCAAGTGAACCTCCTAAACACCCATGGTTAATTTCTATAAATTCATTATATTGAAATGATATCTTTTTTATGTAATTGGAATGGATATCATGCAGACACCCTTCCTGATGGTAAGGGATAACTGTCGCCTATATACTGAACACCACAACGGAAATTCACGTTATCATGTGACACCAGCGATATCACTCTGGTGTTACCACTCTAGAGTGCTAAGATGTCATGTTTGATATCCTGTAATTGCCAGACGAAATGGTTTACTGTGCAAGCTTCTTGGCAGCTGAAGTAGGTGAGACTGTAGTAACTCTGCAGGAAACTTTTTAGTCTATTTATCTATAATGATAACTTATTTGACTAACTTCAATTATATAGTTGCGTTCAATTAGTACTTCATCTGCAAATGCTGTAGACGGAATCCGTAATCTATTGTCAGTCAGAACTTCCCAAACAAATGAGTCGATTTCAATCTTATTCCATTAAGACAATTTTACCTTTTGAAATCCGATGATAAAATAATCATCGAATGATATTCATAATAATAATCTCAAGACAATTCATACAGTACCATATAGACCCAAGTTAAGCTAGCTAAAGCTTGTGTTATGAGTACTAGATAACTCATACAAATATATACATATATATATTTCTCTTAGACCTAGAAAATAGCCAGACCGAAACAAACAGTCATAGCCACGAATATAAATGTTTGTGTCGTGTGAGGAATCGAACCCGCGACCATCGGCAGTAAGGCGGTGTGCTAAACAACTAGACCACCGAGGCCGTCAAATTTCCTAAAGGTATAGTCTAAATATATACATAAAACACAATTCAATTAAAACCCCCTTTTTTGAAGTTATAATATATTCCACCATAAGTACTTAATTTCATTAAATAAACACACCGCTTCCATTCAAAGTAATAATGCCATTATTTCATTTCAATATAAACAAAATGCGGTCCCGTCGTAGCCATTTCATTAATCAATTCCGTTCATTGATATGCATTGTTCTGTCAGATGAATGCAATTAATGTCTTTTAAAAAGGATACCCATGTACATATATAAAGCCCCATTGTATGTGCGAAATGGTAGAAACTCAGGTGAGTGAGTTTCTGAATAGAAAATAAGTAGTTTAAAAATAGAGGACGTCTTAATGATTTGCTACCCTGCCTTGATCCTAAAGGTGAAAATCAACCCAATATATAATTATATTAGTTATATTTCTCAATAACTCACCAGTAATAGAATCATTAGTAACAAATGAAACTAATTCGAGAGACTGCGGTAGGTCAATCTAGCTTAGTGTATTCAAATGTACCAAGCTTACAGCGATTTTAAGAAAAATTACGTTCTCCACGACAATAAGAATTGGCTCCGAATATCCCGTTTGAGAGATCTATGTGTGTATGTGTGTCACTCTACCTTAGTGGATTCAAATGTACCAAGTATTAAAGTGGTTATATGAACAACTGCGTTCTCCACGACATCAAAAGTTGGCTCCGAATATTATCTAATATCGGTGGCGAAGTTGAAAAAAATATACATTAATAAGTATTTATATATAGTACTATAACAGTTATACAGTATAGTACTGAAACAGTTTACACACCAACCTGCATGACTGCTAATATAGGTGACACAGAGATTTTACTACTGGACTAGTTTTACTAACACCACGATTTTAAGGTAGATTTTACCAATTTTTACGTACTTCATTAATGAATTCATAATTTAACATATTTGTTATTTATTTGTAGAAAAAAAATATTGTCGATGAAGTTCTTGTAATCTATTATGTACTCGTAGAGAGTATATAAGTGTACATTTCAGGGTTAACAAATCATTATCAGATTTAAGAAAAAAATGTACGATCAAAGTCCGTATAATCTCGATCTATGACTGCTATAATAAAAATTAATACCTAGTTTTAACTATGTAACATAATTGATTTGTTTACTTATTCTTAGGACAAAATGTAGAGAACTAAGGACGAGTATTGTTCTTAGATGGAGATGAATAAATATTATAATAATTTATATGAATAGATGAAATGAGATTCAAAACAATGGTACCAAATCTTTTTTCCTAATTTAAACGCATCCCGCGCTTAATCATCTGTAAGACAAATTAGATAAACAAATAAGGTCACCACCTCATTTGTTTACTGTCCCGTGATAAAATGAATTAGGTTCGAAATTCAAAATTGTATAACGAACTTACATTTAAAAATGGAATTCAAAATAACCACTACCACACTCACACGAAACAATCCACTCGATATCACTCGCAACTCGCAAGCAACACAGTGCGGACACGCGTCGCGGACTCCCGATGTCAACTGACACCCGCGTGTCACACTCGGGAGCATCGCTGTGAGTACTGATGGCAGAAATCGGGATCGTTGTTCTTATTTCCTGTTCTTTTTTTTTCATTGTTATATACTAAAATAATATATTTTAAGAAATATGAATAAATTTGTTAGAAAGAGAGAAAGGGATGTTCTTAATTTGAAAATGTAATTTCTTTTATTTTTTTTTAAATATGCATTATGCAATATATTGGCGAATATCGAATTATTTTTAATCTGAAGATACTATGATTAAAATAAATTTCTTTGTATAAAAACTTTTATCATTCAAATATAAATAGAGAATGTCTTACTCTCCGATTGTTTGTTCATACAATAGTATTCAAGATTTCAAAATTTTAATCATAGGATTATTGATTCAACAAGGTTACAATAGTGTAACCTTGTTGAATCACATTGATAATGATCAATATCTACGCAATCTAAATCTACAATTTCCTCCTTGATTATGTATCTGACATTACCTAATTTTGGGTTTAGAATCTTCAATAATAATATTATTTAGTTTTTTTCTCACTTTATTTTGTGCAACAGATAATATTAACATATTATTATAAATATATAATTCTTCAGAGAAGTTTCTTTCTACATTGAGTGCCGAAAAATTGTTTCTTTATTATTTCTTATTAAATTGTAATAAAATAAACAATAATATACAAATAGGAAAAGAAATCATTTTTGCTTTTTTTTACATTTAACCTTCATTTGAAACAAACGAATATTTTCCGAGTATGTGAAAAGGGAATTGTTTGTAATTTGGATTGTCGACCCCATTGCTAGCAATTTACTATGTCAGGTGACCTCCACGCGGTTTCCCCTGGTAGCCATGATGATAAATTCCTGACGAATTTGTCACGATAAGTTAAGTGATATGACCTAATGTTCATCTTATTATCCTCCACTGCTGCCCCGCCAGCGAATACCATCTACGCTAGACGAGTGTACCATTCCATTATCATCCATTAAAAATATATATTTTTCTGAATAAAAGAACGTTTTTTCAAACTCTACCACCGTTTCAAAATGTATTGTCCCAATATATTATATTATAAAAATAACATTCGTTTGAAACAATATAAAAGAGAACGTCAGCAATCAAGTTATTTATGTAATTATTTAATTGCTACATTCATTCACTAACCGTACAATTGACGTGTCTTTATTTAGCGTCTGTTAACTGGGCACAACAAGCCGTTGGTCATTGTGTTAAAGTTTATCTCTGTGTAAACATAAGATATAATTATTAGGGTCCGTTGTGAACTGCTCGTATCTAATTTAATTAAGTAATTACCGGGGTATTTCTTATAACAATAATAATAATACTTTGCTTAGGACTGTACAAAGCAAAAATACCGGTGAGAGCCTAGAAGAAAAATAATAATAATAACCCTGGATTCACACAATGCTATTTAACTGCAGAGATGACCAGGGTATTTCTAGTAATAACAATAACCCTGGAAAATTCAGACATCACCATCTAACTGCAAAGATTACCGGGATATTTCGTGTAATAATAATAACTCCTGATAATTCACACATCGTCATCTAGCTGCAGAGATTATCGGGGTATTTCAATTAATAATAATAACCCTGTATAATTCACACATCGCCATCTAGCTGCAAGGATTACCGGGGCATTTTACAGAATAATAATAACCCTGGATTCACACATCGCCATCTAACTGCAGAGATTACCAGGGTATTTCCTGTAATAATAATAACCCTGGGTAATTCAGACATCACTATCTAGCTGCAGAGATTACCAGGGTATTTCCTGTAATAACAATAACCCTGGAAAATTCAGATATCGCCATCTAATTGCAGATATTACCGGGGTATTTCTTGTAATAATAATAACCCTGGATAATTCACACATTGTCATCTAGCTAAGCAAAACTTGTGTTATGGATTCTAGACAACTGATAGAAATACATGGTGAGAATTGGCCGCAGCTGGGCTTTACAGCTACACCGGACGATAGTGGACGCGTGCAGATGGCACTCGATTTATAGAGTGGCTGAGGGCCAACTCCAGCCTAACGGATAGAATTGTTGGTGTAGAACTATCTGTCCTATTGATAGTTTCTTTTTCTTGGAGAATCTCTCTTGCAGTTGCACCTTACGTGACTTCATTCTCGTGCTTCTGTTTTTGAAAATGCAGGATTTCCATTTCACCATCACTAAAAAACATGACAGATGACGAAGAAATCTACAATTAAAGAATTTCTTAATTTTAAATTACCATTATAAAAATGGTTTCTAAACGAATATTACAAATAATTGCGACGGTCTCGGTGGTGTAGAAGTCTAGCATATTGCGCTACTTCCAACGGTCGTGGGTTCGATGAAATCATCATTTGTATTCACGAGTATGATTTTTTGTATTGGTCTGGGTGTTTGCTATGTATATTATATATGTATTTAAAAAAATATCTAATGAAGTATCCTTGTCACATTTCTTTTTCTCAGGACAGTTCACACAGCGCCATCTAGACCCAAGACTAAATAACTGATATATATTTTTTCGTAAAAAGGTATATACATATTATACATAGGAAACACCTAGATCAATACAAACAATCATACTCATGAATACAAATGTTTGTGCCGTGCGAGGAATCAAACCCTGTCGCGGTGACCATCGGAAGTAAGGCGGTGTGCTAAAATGATAAATCGCTAGATCACCGAGGCCGTCCAAATCACTTATTAACCGATTCCAAAAAAGGAGCACAAGCTCTGCTAAGTTTGGCACTTGAGTGAATTATTTTAGTTTATTATTATTATTGTAACTTAGTTATAATATTATTTACTTATTATTAATTCTGTTATGGTCTGAAATGTTTATAAACAAATATTTGATAAGATATCAAGGATGAAACTAATCAAGATACTATTATGTATATAATCAAAGCAATACATAGGCATATTTATTTCCTTACCACACATAAAGTTAGACATTACAAAGTTATTAGATATGTACCTAATATATTTAACATCCGTCCTACTGTGTACTAATAATATGCAAATATTAATATTTCGCAAAAAAATATTTCGAAAAATACAAATGTAATAATTTTGTTAAATTAATAAATATTTAGAAATAATATATATTTTAATAATTACATCATAAGTAATTTATTCTTTTGATTCAGATTAATTATTTTGTTAGGATTTCTGAATTTATTTGTATTATTACTGAAATCAATTTGTTTTAATACACAAATGAATTCATAAATTTCAATGAACTTTGTGGTATACTTATTTTGTTAAAAAAATGTTACATTTCATATTCATCATAAATTCGTAATAGTTAGTTTAAAGAAAATGTGTTTGAGAAATTTATGAATTACATCTATTTTCCATCAAAATTTCCTTAATATCGTTTTCCTGATTAGAAGTCAGGTGCCTGCACAAATAAAATAACTTATTCTTTTATACATAATCATTAATTCATTCATAATGATAACATCCTTGTAGAGACATTTGAGGAGAATGGAATTAATATTAATGAGATCTAGTGGCATCGTTGCGTAAATTGACCTCCATGCGGTACCCTCTGGAAACTATCGTTTAATTTTTGGTAAAATAGCTATGAAATTTTTGCTCATTCCATCATCCTCCACTCGTGCCCCGCCATTTTATGTAATAGGCCGATGCGCCATTCTATTATCATTTATTAAAAAAACTGTAACAACATTATGGCGGACATATTTTCGGACAACTATTTTACAGAAAAATCCTAACATTTTCAGTAGTCCAGAAAAAACCCAGCACTTCATTAATATGACAATGTGACGGATAAAGTGACAATAACCACTCGATAATAAAAATCCTGTCACACTCTCATCTTTTCTGAAGCAACAAATAAATACTTCACTTATATTTGTCGTCATTCATACATTCGTAATGACGGCATCACTTTAACCACATTATGACGGACGAATTCCCGGATAGCAACTATTTTCCAATAAAAATCCTTTAATATTCTTACCTACTTTTAAGTTAGCACTCGAAGTATTACAGTTGGGACACAGAAAAAGCCTCTACAGCATTATCGTCTCTGGAGAAGTTTGAAAGTTGTTTTAAAAGTCGTGTTCATCAAACCCCGCTGGGGTATTCACTTTGTGAGGGGAAACAAGGAATAAATCGCCTTGTCGCTCAAGCAGTCACTGAGCAGGGATGCCGACCACACGGTTTCTTCTGTAGCTTTTCATATTAATTGATATTTGAGTGGCAATATTAACAAATTCTTCTTCAGATGTCAATGTTTCATCAACTGTATTAAATAGCGAGGACGAAAGACCTGAATAACTGTAGTTTTAACTTAAAAAAACCGTACGTAGATCCTAGAGCAAATACGAGATTTTTGGTTTTGGATACGAGGAAATGTTCCCCATATTTTGTCTAATTAGATGTTATTTATGAAAGTCCATTTTATAACATAGATTTGTACTTGATCTGTATTACAATACATACTTAATTTACCGATACCATTTTTCATCTTTATACAGGTTTGTACGAGTTTTGATCTACGAACATCGGACAAAATATAATATGTACGAGGTTATAGAACCAATTTAGTGTACTATATTACATTGTATGTACTAGATTTTGCAAGATTTTTTTTTTATTTCTTCGTACGAGACTAACAAATAAAGTTAGCAACCCTGTCACTGAGTGACACATTGAAAAATAGACTCGCGGCTAACCAACGATTTTAAGACTCTCGTGACGTTTGCTATCGAGAAATGTAATTGAATAAAAGGAATCATGGTGATTTGGATTCGGAATTCTATTTGCAGATTGGCATTTTGATTCATTGACAAGGTTTGTGTTATAACGAAGGGGACGGCTCAATTGATGGCTCAACGTGCAGCAATATTACAATTGTAGCCGGCCTTTAGGAAAGTTAAAGTTGTTACAAGTAGAAGACGACCGAAAATAAGATGGATGGATACATTGTGTGAAAGTTTCATT